AATGAATTTGGAAAGAATTAATTATCCTTCTGCTTATGGTCCTTCTGGGTTTTTAGTGGGTGTAGGTACGAATCAAAAAATAAAGAAAGGTGAATGGATAATGAGGACTCCATGTTCTTCAAGAATAGACTTTGAAACGATTAGAAACAGTTCAGGAGTTGGGGAGTTGATCAAAGATCTAGATGTTAATTAGGATATCACTTTATCTCTTTTCGTAATGCATTAACTTATCCTTGGTACTGAATCAGATATATACAATCCCATCTCTGTTTCAACTCCTGCTGATCTACCTTTTTAATGGTCTGACGATGAAATTGATTTCATTAAAGATATTCAGACAATCGCTCTTATTAGAAAGATGAGGGATTAAAATACCAAAGAAGCTCATGAGGTTTATGATATAGTTCTCTAGCATAATTATGTCGACAAATTTTGCTCTGGAGATCAAACCAAAGAAAATTTTGTTACTCAATATCTTGATGCTTGGTAGATTTCTTAGACAAGATTGATCCAGTAAGAATTCAATCTCAAATATTACACTATGGCCCCAATGATTGAGTCTATAAATCACACTCAAGGGAAGCATTCAATATGCTAGGTAGTAGATTCCGAGGGTAATGTATTGACTGAAAACAATATCGGAAACCTTAATTGCTATTGCATACCTGGTTTTGAAGCAGTTAATGGTGCATATTTCCCTCCATCGGCAGAGGAACTAGAGACAATTATAACTGAAGTCCCTATCGAAATGGTAAAAGACTCTACATCATATTTTGAGCCACCAGAGGGTTCCTTCTTTTAATTAGTTAGCGCTTACGACTTAGAAGAAGGAGAGTAGATTCCATTCAATTATGGGCACATGACAAATAGATATCATTTTATCAACTATGGTTTCTTCTTAAGAAACAATGACTATGATTGTTTTTCAATCAAACTTAAAGTTTCTGAGAAAGAGAGGTTCATTATCTTGCACAAGAACAATAAAAATGATAAATTTCTAGCATCATGTAAACAAGTTCTTAATGATGCTGGATTAACTACTTGTACTTATGCTTTGGTATGCTAGTTTGCTATAGATCTAATAAAGCAGCAATACATCTTAGATTTTGGTAGCTCACTGGATGATGCAGAAGAGAGAATAGAAGAATTTGAAAACAATAGAAAGAGATTAGCTTATGAATTTAGAACAGAGCAAAGACAAATTTATTCTTAGCACGTTGTTGAGCTATAAAAGCTAATAGTCTCCAAAAACAACACTCTGTTTTAATGATCAATTGAACTGTCCTATCAATTAATTCAATAATAAAATACATATATATTAAGATATTTTCATGCAAAAATATATTAAATTATATGATCACTTCAATCAAAGTAAATCAAGTTTTGAGGGGTTTTGGGGTTTTGGGGTTTTGGGG